ATTGATTTTGTAAGTGAGGCTATTTATCATTATATAATAAAATAGATTTCTCAAATTGTGCATTACCAAAGTTTTTTATATTGATTAATTTAATATTATATCTACCCAAAAACTTCGCTTATATTTCACAGTTCTTGGTTATTTAATAGCCAACTTTCTAGCAACAATATTAAATTAAATTAGTCAATATAATATATTCACAAATATATATATTTACTATTATAAAATTATTTAATTCGTATTACTTTAGTCTAAACTAGTCAAAGCTTGCATTTATTTATTTATATAAGTTCTGGAAACTTAAAAATTATTGATAACCAAATTGATGTCTGCTGATGTTAGTAGCTTAATAATTCTGACTTGGTAACTTATTGATTTTGTACCAGAAAATTTTTTAGCTATTTTAGAATTTATAAAAACAACTGTAATAAAGAATAACATTAAAAATAGGCTTATTGTCAGGATATAATTGGTTTCATGTGATCAATGTGCAGGGAATATTTACAGATATACAATTGTTAGTAAGATCAATATAATTAAGAAGGTTGTGTAATTTAATAGTATAATAGTTACAATGTAAAGTCAGATTCGAATTGTATTAATAATAGAGTTACTAATATAAAAGTTTAATTTGTATAGTGTAATAGATATATGATATAAGATCACATAAGCAAAATTAAATAAATAGCAGGTTCGATCCTAAAAATCAAACCTAGACTTTGAATTTTATTGAATAAACTAGTACTTTAAAGAGAATGTAGTGGACTGCAATTTGAGTAGTAATATTGAAGAGAAGGTAACGAGTAGAAAAATGAAGGACAGAGTAATGTTAAAAGCAAGTGAAGTAATACACTATTTAACTAACAAACCAAGAGCTGTCTGCTAGTATTTTATTTTCAAGGATTTATTAAACCCTTATCAGAAAAAATCTGGGCAACTTCATTATCTTTCGCAGAAGAAAGCTGTAACAATTATATAAAAGAAAGCCATAATGATCATACAAAAGAAAGTCATAATGAACGAACAAAGGAAGTTATAACAGATAAACAAAAAAAAGTTGTAATGAAAGTATAAAGAAAATATTATAACAAACAAAAAAAAAATATATATTAGTGATCTTTGAATTGATATAACTTAAAGCGTAAAAATGAAAGTACTAACCTGTCTATGATATAAGGTTATAAGTAATAACAATTGTAATACTGTGGTATATCATATATCAAATCAATAAGAATAATCTGTTGGTGTACAAAAAAGTAGGAATATAAATTGGAATATAAAAGCAAGAGACGAATGAGAAGTATAGATATAACAATATTTGTATATCACGGTGCCAAAATTGATAATATTGAAAACTTTCTTTTCGATTACAAAGACTATGCAAAAGCAAAGAAATACAATGAAAAGACCACCTGCTTTAGAGTGTATATGCATATGCTTAAGAGTTCAAGGATGTGTATATGAAAGTTAGTACAAACAAAGAAAGATTGAACCAACCTGAAACAAAAAATTATAAACAAGATTAAGACGATAATAAATCTGAATTAAAGATGGTTTGATTGAAATGTTTGAAGCAAGGTGATAAGGAATTTGTTAGAGAGTATATGAATAGATATAAGGCTTGTGCAAAATAGTGAAAAATCAACTCAGAACAGATGAGAATTGTGATTAGTATATACAAGGTTTAAAGGAACCATACTATTCTAAGGTTAAGAACTATTATCCTAAAGATTATGAAAAGGTGAAGAAGAAAGTGTTGGGTATAGAAGAATACAAAAGAGAAAAAGATCATAAGTATGGAAATCAACCTGCATCAGAGGATATGTTGCATATCTACAAGCCTGATATTGATATTAACAGTCTTGTAACTGAACTTGCAGTCTTAAAAATCAATTGTTTAGATCAAGAAGGACAATTGAAGTGTGATCAGATTGAAAATCTTATTCAAAACATCATGACCAAAACAATCAAAGAAATGAATTAAAGAACAAACCAACCATGTGAAACAAAGACACAAACATGCTACTCATGCTATTAGAAAAAACACATTGTGAAAAACTATCCAAATCAAAATAAAAGTGATGATTTGGCCAATAAAAATATTAAATTTAACAATGCTGATATATATATGGTGGAGTTTATAGAGGCAAGTTCAGAAAATTCTGATGAATACTTGATGGTAGAAGTAATAAATGATAATATAACCCATAATTTAAGACCTGTAGGTAAAAGAAAAAGAGAGAATGGGGAATTAGGTAAATATTTGTATAAGAAAGAAAAAGCGAATGAACCAAGTGTAGTAAATGGCAGTATAAATCGATCCAATAATGTCATATACATACTCTTTACTGAACTGTCT